GGGACTTATTTTGCACATGCTAACAGATGATGTGCTGTGTGAGTCACATGTTATTTTAAAATGTCAAACATTTTAGTTAAAGAACTTCTGTAATTCAGAAATAAAATACAGAGGACAGTTGTTTGAATGATTTTTATTTAGAGTCACTGCAAGCAGAACAAAACTGGCATTTCTTATCAGGTCGTTTGGATTGCAGATACAAGTGAGAGATGAGGAAATCCATGTATTAATAAGTTTGCTGGACTGTTCTAGCTTATGATCCCTCCACTGGCAGCCTTGGTCCTATCTGTGTCATGTTTATTTCCCACCACTGTGAGCACTTGCTCGACAAGAAGCTGTCAACCCTCAGCATTTCAAGCACTGCAGGTCACAGGCAAGGCCTGGGAAAGCTGAGTCACTGAGGAAACACTGGTCCCTCAGAGCTGTATCTGCATGAGGGCCGCCACTGTTGCTACTATAGTGAACTAGTAGGAGCAACAAGACAAGACCTGGTGATGAAACCTCTGTGAAGACACCCATAGACTGAAGAGCACTGATGCTAGCTTGATTGGGGGATATTTGAGAGACCTTAATTCCACCTTCACCTCTGATCCTGTGACATTAAACTCCTATCCTTACATGCCAGAGGTTTCACTAGGTAGAAGTTTCCTTCTAAAACAGCTGCAAAGGTCAATATTCCTGCCTCTCAGCATGGCAGGAAAACCTAACATCCTTAATCAGCATGGAATGCTTCCATCTGCCCATTAACTACTGATCCATGTAGAGACCTAATGCATATTGAGTAAGGTTTGTTCTAAACAGGGGATCAAAATGCACTGGCCTGTCAAGAAAATTGACCAAGGTCAAGCTAACTTTGCTTATCTGTAGTTTAAGTGGATGCATCTGACTGAAAGTTTGTAATTATCTTCTAAGGGCTTGTTTAGATGTGACAGTTGATGTAGATGAGAGCACGACAGGCATTCAAAACACACTGGCTAGTCCTCAGTAAGTTGCAGAGCGCCAAACTTACTCCAGAGCATTGTTCTTGTTTAAGCTAGGCTGAAACAGTTTATGCTTGTTGCAAAATATAAGGGTGTACACACACACACACTTAAGAGCAGTTATTTCAAAATGACTCTTATGCAGGGATGTGTGTAGACGAGCCCTAGAGGATGAGCTCAGGTCCATGGGTGCCTGCAGTTGCGGTGAGAAGGGAGGAATGGATGTCAGCACACACTCTGCATCAGAAGCTGCTAGCATGGGATACTGAGGGCAGATCCCTAGAGCCATCTTAGCACCCCATTCTTCCTCTTCCACTAAAACCTGTCCCTGGATACACCTACTAGCTTTCCTAATGGTTCAGCTCTAGCTATTCTCCATGTCTAATTGCCACAGCAGCTTTCACTGATAATTGGATTAGGAAAGAAAGGCTCCAATTTTCCCAGTGCCATAGACACTGCCCCAGACACATTGCCAAAATATTTTCAGTCAGAATAGATAACATTTCGAAGGCAGTTTGGTCAGCCTGTACAGACAGGGATGTGTTTAAAAGTTTCAGTTTTTCCAAAATACATTGTGGTTACTTGGCTGAGAGCTACAATTGCCCTGCTTAGGAAGAGGGAAACAAACACCCTGACAATTTAACTTAGGCACAAACACTTAATCCTGACTTCTGCACATTCATCATTTAGCTTAAAAGCTTTTTCTGGGTTTTTTGTGGAATAAATGAATTGTTTGTATATTGTCAGCATTAAGAAGATAGATAAGGATGAGAGCTGGAATGTTATTTCTAAAGTTATTTTAAATATTTGGGGTGTCCACTTAAACTAGGTTTAAATACAGTTACTGTGAATTTCTTCATTTCTTTGAGGGCATAATAAAGCCATAATTTCTGTCATTAGATACATCAGCATTTAATGGCCAGGCTAAAACATGATGGGCTAACTAGCGTACTAGGGGCTTGGGTTTTATGTAACTACATTTCTAACTTTCTTTGGGACCATCCCTAGACTTCCCAGCATTTTTTGGCAAGGGAGGGAAGCAGCTGTGTGACTAAAGACCTGGAACTTAGGCTTAGGAGCTTCATGACAAAGTAAGCCTTAAACAGGTGCCCTCATCAACCAGTTCTGTCTGACCTGCTGTTTCATGGACTGTTAGAAGACATTATCTCTGTGATAGACAGTTTTATTTCCTATTTGTGGAGTATGAGCTTGGCAGCAATAGAAAACTGAGCAGAACCCCAAAGTTTCTGTACTTGGAAAACTTGGGTTTAAAGCATTAATGGAGAGGAACAGGCTCTTAAGGCTAAATACTTACCAGATTACCATTTGCATTGTGATAATTTGCTTTTGTCGAAGAAAAGACTTGTCTACTCAGAGACACTTAGAAAAAATGGAAATCAAATTCAGAGGTTAAATTAATACTTTTATATGCATTAAACTCTTGCACAGATTCACACTTTGAGAACCACAGTGGCCTGTAACTTAGTTTTTATTTTATGCATGTTCACTCCACAGCTCTGATTCCTCTGAATTTTCCCAAGTTGCTCCCGAAGGCAAGACTCAAGAGTATGTTTACACACAAAAGTTAGGACAGGCCATAATGGTGTTTGTAAAGAATAATGCTTGCTCACTAATTGTATTTTCATTGTGAAGTAAAAAGGTATTGTTCCTGATTAGACTATCTCACCTAGGTCTTCTGCACAAGTCATTATGATGGAAGCTGAAGTACACATTAACTCTACATCCATGAACAGGCCTAGCCTGGGGGTGGGGGAAGAGGGGAAAGAACAATTTATCCTGTAAAGGGCATCTATTTTAGGTGTCCCAAGCTGCAACTACACTAATACATAAAATAACCTACAAGTACACAATACAGAAAACTATGAACACCAAAAGCAAAGATACTTGAAGCCCATACTGGTCTTATCTCACTTATCTCACTAGAGATGACAGAAGTTTTAGGATTGTTTCTAAACCAGCTCATCATCTGTATCAGAAAAACTAACACTTAGAATTTTTCTGGAGGTTTGAACTGAATTTTCAGCTCAGTCTCCCACTCTGCAAGACAAGTACTATACAGTCTCAGAGATCTTCCCAACAAGCACTTAAGCAAGTCTCATCAGATCTACAAGGTGTCTGGCATTCCATTTCTCTGTATGTATCTGTGAATTTGGAATAGGAGATGAAAACTTAAGGGTCTGAATGAGTTTTAGAATCATGTCTACAGAGTGCACCAGTCACAAGTCACCCCTCAGCCACAGAGTTGAAGAACTGAGAAGGAGGATATTTCTGGAAAGGTAGTAAATGCAGAGAAGCCAGGACTAATATGCACTCAATAATTATAAGTGGAACTCTGCAAGTAGTAAGCTTGTGACCACTGTAAATTGACATGATGGTTTATAGAACCTCAGTATTACTGGACAGCTTCTTATTTTTACTTTTCTGTCAGGCTAATAAATGTATTAAGTATCAATACATCAAACTTTAAAAGTTGCTTCTTAGTCTGAGACAGCAGTAAAGATTGAGACATCTTACAAAAACAAATGTGCAATAAAATGATGCTATGTAATCGAATGAAATTTGCTTTAACTTGCTCTTAGTGACTTTGCTGTAAGAACATGGGAGTTAATTTGGCCCTGGGGAAGTCATTAAGGGACTTTTTCAAAAGAGCATGTAATTTGGAGTAAGGGTTAATGTAAACAGTTTCTTCTACTTTTGATTAGTTTCTAAACAGAGCTAGTTAACAACACAGATACTGATTTTTTATTTTAAATGTATGCTATGGATATGAAGTAGTAACTACAACTGTACTGAAGCTACATTTGCTTTTTAATTCACCAAAACTGCATCCACACCAGGTCATTTTTTCATAGATCTGAATGCAGCTCTATAGAACACCAAAACAAATATTCTTCAAAACCTCTTTGAACAGCTTCTTCAATGAGTTTAGAAGATAGAGAAAACTGTCAGCACCTAAGGCCTAATTTCACAGTATTTACTGACAGACTTGTGAGATTACACTGTAAACCATGTAGCTGACAATGTAGATACAGGAATTGAGGCATAAATATTTTATCTGTGTTGTGGAACAGGCACGGGTAGTTTGTGTTCATTCAGTCTTTAAAGGAAACATTTCAATCACTGTTTTAAGGAAAAGGTGGCTCACTTTAATAACCACAGGCATTGGTCACTATTTAACAAGACATTCTAAAAAAGTAATCACAATTTGTCTGATAGTAGTTTACAAGTGGATGGTATACATTAAGATACAGAGGTAGAAGTTCACTTTTACAATGCTTCACTAATACAGATTACCAAATTCAAGGCACAAAATTGTTCGCTTTACAAAAAATACTGTAAAAATGTCATTTGCTGTTCTACAATGTGAGTACAACTCAAAAAAATCTTTACACCCTTTCATATTCTGCATGTAGAGTTGGATCAGGCATTATTCTATTTTTCCTTTGCTAATAATTGGCATATGACCAGCACTTACATAAACAGTTTGTATGTCAGCTGAGTTGCTTTGTCTTTTAGGCACAAATCCAGTTACAGAAATTTAACACAACAGCTTCCTTGGGAGGTGGGAGAATTCTGTCAGAAGTAAGAATGAGGAGGAAGAAAAGAAACATATAGTCCATAACAGTAGATTGGACTCTGACATACACAGGGAAATGGAACAGAGCATATTTCAAATCAAGTCACTTGAAAAAAGTCAGATTAAATCATTGACTGCATTCCTAAAAGAACAGATGCCCAGTACAAGTTTGCACTGACAGTATGTAAGACATTCACTTGCCTTTGAACCAGCAGAGATTTACAAATTTCTTTTAATCCTTGTTTAAATAGAACATACATGGTTGCAACAGAAGAGAATTACACCACAATTTGGCCATGTGTCCTTTAGAGAACTTGGGTGAACAAGTGAAGAGATGCATTCAGAAACCATCCTTGAATTTGCTATAAGGTCATGAGCAGTAGCATAAATTGCA